GGGGGCCACCGGGGGCCCTGAGAACAGGTGTAGGGTGGTCCGGACATAGGGAGGTGGCAGGCGTGACCCTAGGACGCCGTCCAGGCTGGGCCGGTCATGGATGGCCCTGCTCAGAGTAGGGGGGTCATGACAGGGGTCAGCTGTGGACAGAGGCACAGGTCATGGTGAGTCACCGCCGCACCTCCCCACTCCACCCAGAGCCCACTTCGCCCTGCCACCTCTGTTGCCCCTCACCCAGAACAAGGCTGGTGGCATAGAGAGGTGGCAGGAAGTGGGCCAGCAGCGCACCGCCCAGCCCCAGCACTGCCCAGCGTGCCAGCTTGTCACTGGCTGACAGGCAGCCCACATGGGTGTCACGAAGCGCAGGCGCCAGGTAGGACACGGGCTTCAGCTGTCCGCGGACGTGCGCCTGCAGGCGGAAGGACGGGCTGTGCAGAAGGCTGCCTTCTGAGGACAGCGGGAGGCTGCAAGGCAGGCAGGGGACAACCACCCAGAGTCAGGGCGCGCCTCTGACCCAGTCCTCGTCCAACCGAGGCAGCCCCCTCCCAGGAGGCCCACGTACTAGATGTCGTGGGCGGCTCCCTTGGGGGTGTTGCTGACGTAGAGGTGCAGGAAGATCCGGGGCTTGAGGGCAAAGGGGGGCCCAGACCCAGGCTGGGGGGCCAGCACAGACCGCTCCTTGCCCTTGGCACCCCCCTGTGTGGCCAACAGGAGCTGCCGGAAGAAGAATCTGGAATGACAGGCAGCGGGCAGCTAGGGCTGCTGTCCTGGCCGGGGCTCTGGCAGAACCTGCCCCACCTGCCCTCACCTCAGCAGGGCCCTGCGGGCGATGATCAGTCCGTGACAGTCGTGGAGCTGCCGGCCAGAGAACTCCAGCCAGCCAGCACAGCTGCTGCTGCCAGTGCCCAGGGCCACTACCTCGTAGATCTCCTTGGCATGGCCCCTGGCCCCTGGGACCTCTGCAGGGAGGGACAGGAAGGGCTCAGCCCAGGGCAAGAAACCCCAAGGAGCCTATAAGGTGCTGCAGGGGACAGGCCATCCCTACCCCTCTCCAGGATGACCGCAGCCACCGTCCCTTTGCAGGCCCAGTATGGCGAATTCTCATCCAGCAGGCGGTCCAAGCCAGCGCTGACCACAGCTGCGCAGCGCTGCTCATGTGTCAGGATGTTCTCTGTACAAGGGCCAGAGGCGTAGGTGGGACCACAGACCACGCCCCTCTCTCACACCGGGGCTCAGGACCCGTCCACCTACCTACGCTCAGGGAGGTGAGTGGAGGCTGGCTGAAAGTCTCAGGAGGCTCTGAAAGAGAGATAAGGAGAGCCGGTCACCATGGGTGCTGGGGTCTGCCCTCCCATCCTCTGGGAAGCTGGGGGAAGAAGAGGCTGTTTCCACCTCTCAGAAACAGTCCCTGCCCTAGCATGAGCAGGACTTCCAAAGTCAGGAGCAGGGGTCAGCACACATCCCGCTACTGATGCCCATGCAGTCCTAGCAGCAACGTGTCCCCCTCACCACCACACACCCCCCAGAGCCTCGGCAGGCTGAGGCGAGGTTACCTGGGCTCTCCAGCTGGCTATGGATGTAGCGGAGGGCAGACAGCGCCGCCTGCTGTTTGGCTTCTGTCTTGTTGTTCGCGGTGCCTGCAGGGCAGACCACGCCATCCAGTTCCGCACTCACCGAGAAGGGAAAGCAGGGACCTGTGGAAGGGGGCAGTGAGGAAGGTCCCACCTGGCCTGTGTCCCCATCAGGGGCCCTTCCTAGGGAGGGTGCCACACCTACTCCCTGCCACAGCCACAGTGACAACCAGAGCTTAATCAACCCCTGGCTGGGGACTCTACTGACACAGGTGTGGTGTGATCCTCGGCATGCTCTGCCCTGTTAATGCAAAGCCTCTGAAACACACAGGGGTGAAAGCACTGTGCAGGGGAGGCCGGGAAGGGCAGGCAGCACGCGGGAAGAGGAGGAGGACCGAAATCCAGGGCCCCTCCAGAGCCCAGGCAATGCTGTTTTCAGGGTGGAGACTCCTGGGCTCAGAGGACAGCTTTGTGCCTGCCACCAGACACCTTTTATTTCTTCCCCTCCTCACATTTGGAAAATATTCCTAGACAACAGCATCACTGCAGGCATTTCTGATAACACAAGGAGACAGAAATCCTAAAACCAGCTTCACCTGGTCAAGGGTGGGAACCTAAATGTCACAGTGCTTGCTGTTTGCTTCTCAAAAGCCCTGCCCTTTGCAGAGGATCCCACTTTTGCGACCCTCATTAGAACTGAGATGCAGGACACTACAAGGGCATCAAAACCAGCAAGGAACGTTGACTTCAGGAAATCCTCACAGAAAAATCTTTGGTGGAAATCACAAGGTAACAGGCTACGGGGACGGAAAATATTTACACACTCTCCAAGTTTCCCCTCAGCTGGCTTATTAAGCACAAAGGGGAAAGCAAAGACACCGACAGATACCACCCTAATCAAACCCTCTCCCTAACATCGCCAGTTGAAGGACAAACTGAGATCACACATCTCTTGATGGGATGCATTGCCAGGATGTGACATCACTGATAATGCACAGAATGAGTTTGATCCCGAGAAAACAGACTGTCCCAACTGAAGGACAATCTATAGTACGACTGGCCCTTACTCTTCAAAAACATCAATGTTGTGAACGACAGATGGTAGAATTCTTTGAGATGAGAGATTATAGGATATATGACAACCAAATGTAATGTGTTACGATAGGATGGAAAATCATGGCCTTGGGGGCATTATTGGGACAGATTGGCAAAATGTAAATGTGAACGATAGTTAGATGAGTGTTATATCATCAATGCCAAATTGCCAGAATGTCATCATTGTACTGCAGTTACACAAGCCATGACCTTGTTCTTGAGAGAGACACACTGCTGTATATAGGAATAAGGGGCAAGGTGTCTGCAATTAGATTTCATACTAAAACTGTTTAAACTGGGAGTTGGGAGTGTATTGGGGAAGACAGAAGGACACACTAATGACTATTCCTATATGTTGTGTATAAAATATTGCAAATTGTGCTTAACAGTGTCTTTGAAGTCGGCCCTCATTCAGAAACCTGCAGTACTGGCACAGCAAGTGAAACTGCAAAACTGGTCCTTTAAAGGGGGTGCAGATAGGCTGGGTGTCTTGGGGCACGTCCCTTAGACTCCTGGGCATCAGGTGGGGATAATATTCACCAGCCAAGACCCTGCCACGGCCAGATGTCTGCTGGGGCTGGTCCCGCTGTTTGCGGGGGTCGACATGGAGGCCCGGGTTGGGGTCCGGCCCACCAACCCTCTCTTGCTTCACCTGGGGCGGGTAAGCAGTGGCCCTATTGCCCCGCGACCCCCTGGCTCCCCCCACAGCGCGGCCCGGCTGGGCCTCACCTGCCACCGGGTCCTCTCGGAAGGTCAGGGAGACGCCCAAGCCGGCTGCATACTGCGCGAGCGAGGCCACCGCCTGGCTCGGCGGCGGGTCCCTGAGCGGCAGGCGCAGCGGCGGGGCCGCAGTGGGGAAGTCGCCCGCGGGCCCCAACACCCTGGGGAACCCCCCTGGGCGCACCTCCGGGTCCTCCCGCGCCCGAGCAGGCCCCGGCTCCCCGACCCCAGCCCCACGCCCCGCAGCCTGCGCGCCGCCCTCCGCGTCCGCCTCGGCGCCTGCGGCGCGCGGGGGCCCCCAGGCGTCCTGGCCCTGGCCCGCCGAGGGTCGCCAGGGACTGGGCCCGGGGCTGATCTGCAGCGAGGCCGCCAGGCGGGGCTTCTTGCGACCGCCGTCGTCAGAGGCCGCGCTGGCCGACGACGCCATGCCTGGGCACGAGAAGCCGCGGATCCGATCTAGCGCCACGCGCGCTCTTTTACACGCGGGCCGGTTCACGTGGGAACACGTGGCTGACAGCCGTGTGGAGCTCCGCCCCCGGTAGCACTGGCCAATGAGAGCCCTGGAGCTGGGGGAGGGGCACAGCGTGGCCAATGGGAAAGCCACCTCCCTGCTCTCCTGGGCCCCAGGCAAGGAGGCTGGAAGCCCAACGTCCCACGCCCGCCGGGTGGTGGGCGTTGTGCCAGGTCAGGTGAGGGTGGGGCCCACTCCATCAGCGCCTGCAGCTTTGAGTGGGCCTGGAGGATGCGGAACCAACCGAGAGGGTCTGTGGGCGTCTCGTCCAGTTTCACACTTCAGCTCCTGTCCCAGAACAGCCCCAAACCATGGCCCCTCGTTGCCCCTGAGCCTGCGGGTGTCGTTATTGGCAGCCCCACGGAATCAGTGCCATCCACTTTAAAAGGAACCTGTAGGCCTTTATGAATCTAAACAAAATTATGTACTGGCCAAATACTCGCCCTTTGGCCCCTGGTCTTTCCCCAGAAGGGCTTCTGAGTTGTAGTGCTTTAAGGTGAGGGGCGAGCGGGAGACAAGTAAAGATGAAGCCAGGGATGAGGACAGTTTGCCTAAGGCCTGCCATGATGGGAGACACAGCTGCTGAGGTGGGCTGCCCCATCTGACTCCTCAGCAGCCAGTTACTGGGAAAGTGTGACCCCAGCTCGGGGTGTGGAAGATCTGTGGTGGCTGCTGTGGCTGCTGCTGTAGCTTGAACTACGGATTCTGAAAAGGCCCATCAGGATGTGACACTGTGCACGCTGAAGACATAGAAGAGTTGGTGAAACAGGAACTTCTGACTTCAGAAGAGTGGGTGTGGCTCGCTGGGGAGTCTTCTCCTCCCACACTTTTCAAAGATGGGCATCAGCAAGAACAATTCCATTGTGTGGGGCAGGCCGCCCAGAGAGTGGAATAAGGCTTGGGGCTGATCAGACAGTGCAGTAGGTGTTCAGAAATGGCTGCGCGCATCTACAGAGACTTGAGCGGAATTGCCAAACCCAGATACCTCCCCAATGCCTACCTAAGGAGGGTGGCTGAACGAATGGTGACAGTCATTCAATGGAGAATTAATAACTGAAAATTCGCTCCTCCTCCTGGAGGCCAACCCAATAATGAAGACGAGGTCTTAAGGAAAAGGTTTATTGCTTTGCTAGCAAAGGAGAAGCACAGGACTCTTGTGCCAAAGACTGTGATTTTCCCCAACAGCAGGAACAGGGTTTTATAGAGGTGAATCAGAGAAAATGAGAATAAGGAGGAGAGTTCAGAATGAAGTTTAGGGAAAAGAAGATCAGGGAAGAGAAGTTGAGGGAAAAGAACATTGGGAAAAAGAAAGAAACGTAAACTTCAAAGCCACAAAGGATATAGCCACAGCATCAAGTGAACCTTGATTACAGTTACTTAAAAAGAAAGTACTGCTGCATGCACAAAATTGTTATGATTCCAACTCTGTAAAGTTCTTGAAATGGCAAAATTGTGATAAAAGTCACAATCGTGGTTACTCTGTGAAAGAGGGATTGATGGTCAGCAGCTCCAGGGGATATTCTTGAGTGACCATGGTCTCTCTTGATCCAGGAGGTGATCACATGAGTTTATACCTGGGTAGAGACTCAATGAACTGCTCACTGAAGACGTGTGCACTTCACTGCATGGTAAATATGTTAGTGAAGACAAACTGGTTAAAACCCAGAGAAAAGAATAAAGGAGGGAATACAATTGGACACACAGATTGTCCACATCCTAATCCTAAGAACCTGCTAATATATGTTTTTTGGCAAGGGGCAATTAGCTGACTTTAAAATAGGGGATTATCTGGACATGATCAATGGAGTCCTTAAATGGGCAACAGGGAGATAAAGAGTCATGAGAAAGAGTCAAGAGGCCATACTGACTTTGAGGATGAAAGGGGACTGAGCCTAGGAATGCAGGTGGCTTCCGGAGGCTGGAGAAGGCAAGACCACTGGCTCCTTCCCTTAGAGCCTCAGTAGGCACACGGACCTGCGGACACCCTGACTTAGCCCGTGAGATGTGTGTTGGACCTCTGACCTCCAGATCTGTAACATACCATGCTGTCTTAAGCTGTTAGGGCTGTGGCAACTTGGTACAGCTCTAGTAGGAAACTGATCTAACTGGTCTTCAGTTATTTTGCATACATATTCCCTAAAATAATTCTGAAAACCTGTGTAGCCCCAATTTTTAATCACAAATTGAAACAGTTACAAAAGCTGTAATTCTTTAAAATCATCCTTTACATTTCCTCAAAACCATAGAGATGTATAAGCTCATCCCATTTATGAAATATTCACGCCCAGGTGACTTATTTGGAAAGCCCATCTCAGTGTCAAAAGACAGATAAATCAGACTTCCTACTGGAAACAGCCTGACTTCATTTTGTTCAGTCTAAATAAATTTCTTTTTTTATTTTTCCTGAACGACCCTTTCATTTCATTCTCTTTGTTATCAATTCAATATTTATGAAGCATCATCTGTTTCTTAGATAACTAAGAAGGCCATGGCCTGACCAAGTTCAAAATCTTGATAAGGCAGCATGGCCTTTTCTCTTTCAAAAAGACTTCTTATGGAACTATAACATCCCTATAGAAAAGTACACAGATTATTAGTGAGTCTTCACAGACTGAACACGACCAGCCACGCTCAGATGAAGAAATGATGTCGTCAGGCCCCAAAGCCCGCCTCCTGCACCCTTCCGTCCCCACTTGCTGCTGAACTTGTTTACTTAATACCCCCTGTAGGAGGTCTGCTGTTGAGAAGAACCTCTTGTGCAGTGCTCATCCTCGGACAATGCTCCGTGAAGGGAACACAGCGACTGGGAAAGGGAAGACGGAAAAGGACCATCTGACTCCAAGGAACTCCCTGATAGAACCCGTGTGGATGGAAGCTGAGAATCTGCAAGTTGATCCTTCAAGGCGGTGGTTCTGGACCAGCACTATCAGCCTCACCTGGGAACTTTTTAGAAATGCAAACTACAGTGCCACCTTCCAGACCTACTTAAGACGCCGTTTAAACTGGCGCTGCAAGTGGCTCTGTGATTGGACACTGAGTCCCAAAGCCTGGCCCTCAAACAGCGTCAGCATCACCTGGCAACCTCCCAGGTGCTGACGCTCACGTTGGAGACCCGCTGTCCGAAGCGCCCCCTGCCGGGCTGCCCCTGGCACAGCGCCGCCTCCTCCCGGAGCATCTCTCCCTCCCTCCATTGGTAAAGCCAGCGCAGTGCCTGGCTCAGAGTGCGTGCTCAGTGTTTGCTGAATCACGTTAACCCTCACAACCACCTATGCGATAGAAAGCTGGTGAAGCCGAGCTGGGATTCGAATCCAAGTCCACTCGGCCGCCAGCGCGGGCGGGGACGCGGACTTCGCTCTACCGCCCACGCGCAGCCTTCACGCACGTCTACCCTCTGCCCGGCAGGCGGCGCTCGAGGACGCGCGGGGGCGGGACTTCCTGTCTCGGGGAGCACTTCCTGCCGACGCGGAAAGCGGTGGGCTGCTGCGGCGGAGCGGTCCCTCTGTGGGCTACGGCGCCGGGGCTCCGCTTTCTCGCTCGAGAGTCCGGCGGGAATCGCGCGGGTCACCTTCCCAGACAGGCACCCGAGGCGGCCGCGTAAGTGCGCGCGCATCCCCGTTCCGGGCTCTGCGGCTCCGCCGTGATGCGCCCGCGCCGGGCTCGCCCCGGGTACGCACGTGCTCGCGCGTGCCCAGTGCTGCCCTGGGCGGACTGTAGGGGGCCTCCCACCGGCGCCCGACCCCTGGTCTCGGGTGGCCACCCGCGCTCTGGCAGGACGGCAGCTGGGGAGCTGCCAGAGGCCTCCGTACCTTGGAGGCTGAAGGACTTTGTAGGGGCAGAGGGAGGGTCCGGGGTCTTCTCTTAAGCCCAGAGTTTGTGCAGAGGCCCTGTGGTGAGAAGCAGCATGGTGAGAGGTCAGTGTGGAAGGAGCCCGGGCACTACAGTGCTCTAGTGTGTCTTCCCAGTTATTGGGAATAATTCTGCCACTCCCCGAGGCTGTTCTGCACAAGGACTCACTGATCACTTCCTTCTGCGTCCCACCGGCTCGCCTGTCCCACCCCCACCCCCATAGATAAAGGAAAATGATAGCAGCCAGGCCAGGGACTCAGGAATGGGTCAGGTACCGCCCCATCTCTAAGAGCCCTCATAGCCCGCAAAGGAGATGAGCACACAGATAAGCTGCAGTGGGACCTGAGGATCGCGAATTCTTTCCTTGACAGTTACTGCAACAATGTGACAGCTCTGCACAGTGCTGAGGTCCATGCATGTCCAGAAGCTACAGAATAAACTGATAAAATGCATCAGGGGTTCTACAGGGAGAGATGTTTGCTTACTCAGATTCTGGTGCTAGAGTTTGCTTGTGGATACTTATCCCTGATCCTTGGTTTGCTGAATTCCACAGTAGGGGCAATAGGAGAATAACACACTTAGCCCAGTATGTAACATGCTGGCACTTAGTGCTGCTATTTTTGCTAATAAAAAAAGAGGAATGATGGGGCTACTGATACTTACAGAGGACTGTGATTATCAAATCCCCTTGATGTCCACTTCTCTGTTAGACACTGCATTTTCTGAGATGCACTGTGCTTAACAGTGGGAAGACAGAAGAGTGATTCTCAGTCCTGGTTTGGGAGTACTGAAGCTTAGTTTGGGTAGTATCGTCTACAGATGTCTGGTTACAGTCCATAAGGGCTGTGGCGGAAGCAGACCTCACCCCCCTATCTTCATCCTTCTCCACTCTCCTCCTGGTGCATTTTCTGTTTCTCACTTTCCTGCTCCAGGGCTTTCACACTTGCTGGTGTTCATACCTGCAGCCCTCTTCCCAGGTGTGCACCTGGCTGTCTCACTCCTCAGGTTACTGTACCCAGGTCACACCTTGCCTGTCACCACCCCCTTCCTTGTGGAAGGCAGGTGGTTTTCCTGTGGCCTTCCTTATCTGCTTCCTCAAAGAAAGTGAATTCCTTGAGGGTACTTTTGTTCTCCCCAGGAATCCTGGAAGCCTTTTCTGGAGAAGGTGGGTGTGACATGGTGCTCGTTTTTTTGCAGGATGGATTTCCCCAGATCCCTGTGTCCCTCATTGTTTATGGCTGGTCCCCTTGGTATGAATGATGCCCCTGACCTGTCCTTCATGTGCAGCTGGAGAGATGCTCTGACGCTGCCAGAGTCCCAGCCCCACGATGCCAAGGTGAGGATGGAAGTAGGGTGCTGACAGCTGTGGGTGGGCTCCTTCACTTGGTCCTCACATTAGTATTCATACCCATTAGCACAGCTCGAGTAGGGTAGCTGTCGTTAAGCCTTAGGAGCACAGTGTGACTAAGTCAGACCATCCTGCCCTCACGGAACTGAGGGTACGGCTGAGTGAGTGTCTCCAAGTGAGAAGAGCAGTGGATAGGATGACCACAAAGTGTGAGCACAGCTCTGAGCAAAACCAAAGGGATGCTAAAGTTGGCGGGGGGAGATCTCCCCGCATTCTGCAGGTGCCTTGGGAAGGCCATGGTGAGAGAGAGAGGCAGGCAGGTGGGACAGTCCAGGAGGGGCTTTGAACAGGCCGGTCTGGCTGGCCAGCCAAGTCGCAGCAGGTGTGGCATTCGGGCGCCTAGTGCTGCTGTTTTTGCTAATAAAAAAAGAGGAACAATGGGGCTGCTGATGCTCACTCCCAGAGTGAGCACTCTGACCTGGAAGCGAGAAGCAGTGGGGTGGGGTCAGCCGGCGATGCTGCAGGGGACTTCCTTGAGAGCCAGTGCCGGAGGAGATCAGAAAGGAACTCTGGAGTCAGTCTGCCAGGTTTCAATCCCAGCTCTTCTGTATACCAGCTCTGTCACCGAGGGCAAATGACAGTCGCTCTGTGCTTCAGTTTCCACATCAGGAGAATGAGACACTTGTGCCACCTTTGTGGGGCTGTGGTGGAGACTCGATGAGTTGTGAGACAGGAGCCTGCAGGTGCTGGCCCAGGGTGTACACTTATGTGCCACTGTGGTGTGTTCCCTCCAGAATGCCATCCCTCGCCTGGCCAAGGACCTGCTCTGGGAGCCGTTGGCACCTGGGCCTCTGCCCCTGATGCCTCCTGGTCCTGGTAAGGCCCTTCTTCTGGTCTCTCCTCAGCTGCCCTTCTTGCCGCTGCTCAGCCCCACCTCTTCGTGCCTAGACCCTCCACAGCCCTCACTGGTCTGCATCCCTGGGGCCTTTGGTGACCTCCGTCACCTGGCCCACCTTGGTGCCCTACCTCTATTCTTCCTCAGACCCCTGGGACCCTGGTGTGACTGCCCAGGACCTCCTTTTCCGAGGAGGTCGCCACTACCGGAGGCAGCCCCAGGTCGTACTGGATGTGACTGAGCAGGTGAGTGTCCCCCAGCAGGTGGTGCTTCATGGCCGGGGGCTGTGCGTCATGACCTGGTGCTTCCTTCCCCAGCTCAGCCGATTCCTGTGGGATCACGGGGACATAGCCTTTGCACCCCTGGGGAAGCTGATGCTCGAGAATTTCAAACTGGAGGGTACCCGTGTGAGTAACCCGCCACCCTAGGAGCGCATCCTGCCACCCCCCACCCCCCCCCCCCGCTCCAGATCCCCAGGTGTGTGAGCTTGACAAGGCCTTTCCGTGCAGAGCCGCTCCAGGAAGATGACAGTGGTCACTGTGAAGAGGCTGCTCCAGGACCTTGGTGGACACCAGCCCTGGGGGCAAGTGGCTAGTGAGAAAGCTTGCTGGGTGGCCTAGCTGGTGACGGGCCTGTGGAAGGCGCAGTTTCCCTCACAGTTCCTCCCCTGCCCACACACTCCAGCTCCAGCTAGCCTGACAGAAAGGGGGTTCAGGTCCATGGGCCTCAGGCATGCCTGTGCCCAGGCGTTCAGGGTTGATGGGCTGGTCTCTGGATCGTCTTACCTGCTGCCCTCTGCCCGACTTAATTCCTAGAAAGACTGTTTTCAAGTGGCACCATGATGGCTCATGAGTCCAAAGAGTCAGTGTCCTTCCCGAGGCACCAGAAGGACTTTGGTGACTTGGCCAGGGTCTCACGCCCACCTGTGAGCCAGTCACTGTACAGCAATGAAGTGCTCACCCAGGTTGGGCCACGGGACTGCACCTTGCTTGGGGGAACAGGGTGGGTGGTTTCCCAAAAAAAGTCATTCTAGGTAGAACTGTGGACTCTGCACCCGACCTACCTCGAGTCCCCATTCCTCCTCCTCCTCTGCCCCATCGTGATCCTCTGCCATCCCTAGGTGTCCCTGGGCATGGATCAGCCACCGGCAGCGTCGCTTCTCCATCCTCGGGGGCCCAGTGCTTAACAAGTCAGTGTCCAGCCTCCTGGGCAAGCTGCTGCATGAGGAGCTGGCCCTGCGCTGGAAGCAGCTGCTCTTAGACGATGCCTTCACTGGGGGTGCCTTGGCCTGGGTGCCCGGAAGGACAGCCCGGGTGGGCCAGCTGGTCTACCCTACGGGAGGTGCCCTGGACAAGCTGTGTATCCTTTCTGCTGGTGGGAGAGTCAGCCACCCCCACCGCCCCCCAGTGGTGAAGGAGGTGCTCCTGGCATGGTCCATGGTGAGGGGTAGGACATGGGGGGCTTGTGGTGCCCGCTCACTGATCCTTAGCCGAGGCTCAGGTTTCCAGGAGGTCAGTCTGACCTCAGGAGGCAATCCTCGGGTCTTTGGGGACCCTGGGTACATCCAGCTGCGCGGACCTGTCCGGCAGGTGGTGACCTGCACCGTCCAGGGAGAAAGTAAGGCCTTCAGGCACCTCCCTCCGTGGCCCAACCACTGCTTGACCCTGAGCCTGACCTCTCCGTCCTCTCCTCAGCTCTGCTGGCCGTCCGCTCTGATTACCACTGTGCCATGTGGAAGGTCAGCAGGCAGGAGCCGCCAGCCCCGCTGCAGACGCTGCAGGTCGAGAAGGGGGCCACGGGGATCAGTCTCAGGTGAGGATGAGTCAGCTCTTAGCAAGGTGAGCCTGGGAAAGGCCGGGTTTCCTGAGGTGACATCTCACTGTGCCCTTAGCCCGCACCTGCCCGGGGAGCTGGCCGTCTGCAGCCGTTCTGGAGCCGTCTGTATGTGGACCCCTCAGGATGGGTAATTCCCCTTTCCCAAAAAACACTGCACCCAACAAACAGACCCAGGGCCCACCACCCTGAT